AAGACACTAAAAAACTTTTGTTTATTTAACTTTTAGAATTTGTTTATAAGTTTCAAATGAAATAACTCATAAATTTATCACTATATAACTGTGTTGAAATGTTTATATATCAACAAAGTTAATGTAGATAAATTATATATGTATATCTACAGATGTAGATATATATAATTTCATGTTTATTCGTAAATTGTCCAATGTCACATATATTTGCAGCAATAAATGTGTTGAATTGTGAAATAGATTTCTTTAATATAACGTATATATTATTGGATATATACAAAGAACTTACTTACAGATTACAACCTATAGTATTTTTATAGTTTCAACTGATTTTTAAATTGATTAGACGATTCTTCTTATGGGTCATCATATAGTATATACTGTGGCTTTCACAATTAGTCATTGTTGAAAGTGAAATTATTTTGAATTCGTGATTCATTGTCTCATATCCTCTATGCTGTTGTTACATTATAATATTATAATATTAATATTATAATAAATCTTGGAATAACATACATATATATTTATACATATGTTATGTCAAATTTCAAACATCACATTTAGTTGTCATGATGTGGGTACAGCAGAAACGCTTAAAAATATATGGTCATTGTTCGGAGTTATGAAATAAAGTTACGACAGTACTACCTAGAAGAATTCGTAGAAATTGGTGCAGATAATCTTATAAAATGTATGACCAGATGATTTAAAAAAAGTTGTATTAAGTTATTTTTTGTAAATCTGTCTTACAATGGTATATGATCTGAGATTTACGTCAGTTGCAATATTTTTGAGACGTTCATTAAATAATAATAATTACAATTACAACTAATAAAATATTTTGCAACAAAGGCGCCATTTCATTTAATGCAACCACAAATACATCATGTAAATTATTCATGCATATATAAATTAGGTTTTCTCGTTCCCCAGTCCAGAACATGGAGTGGAGTGTTTATTATTTTCATTTAATTATGATTGGAGATGATGTTCCAATCATTCACAAGTTTAACTTAATGTTATATTAACTACTTAACTACTAAAGCTTAATATTCTTAAACTTAACTACTAAAGCTTAATATTCTTAAACTTAATTAAGCTTAATATTCGATTCTCGAACAATTTCAAAATATTCAAGTTCCATAACTTATATCTCTTTATTCAGCGGTTTCAAGTCCTCTATCTATGAAGAAGTAACATTAGCTAATATCATTTACATGTGAGTAGCACATTTGAACATATTTACTTGCGATTATTGTAGGGTATATTGGGAAGTTTAATAGGGAAATTTTGTCAGATGGGTATTTTCACTTAAAAATTTGTAAGTGTGATATTTTAAGTGGGTATTACACATCAAACTTGGTCCTACAACTTGGTGCGACGTCGCTTATTTTGAACACGTCCCGCAAAAAAAAAAAACAACAAATATTATACAAAATAAAATCATGTATGTATATAAACGATGTTTTCCCTTCCATCTCTTAAAATAGAAAGAAATTTACATGTAATCCGATTGTATACGAATCCGAATGCTTGTCATATCAGCAAATATTGCTATTTCATACGAGAATTGGTACAAATTTTACATTCAAGTTGTAGGATCAAGTCTGATGTATAATACCCGCTTTAAAGGCTGAATTTAAATAAAAAACAACAAAAAGTCATCAGGTATGAAAGAGTACACACAAAGTGAAACGAAAACAATATAAGTTTAGTTCGATCACCCACTATTTCGCATACAAAGATATGCAATACAATTGCTCAATGTGTATATCAGCTGATATAATATTTCCCCTGCGATCGCGCTCACAACGAAAGCCAAAATTTAATTGGTTCTTACGTTCTATTGTGGTAGAATAAGAAAATTCCTGTGGTATTGCTTTCCATATGGTAGAACGGGTCAGCTGGAATAGCTAAACTGTTTTAGCTTTAAACTGGTTGTGCTGCTAGGTATATGAAATCAGCTGATCCCTTCTATCTCATGATAGAATATGCATTCGGATATTCGTGCCGAAGTTGGAATAGCTGGAAACAAACGAACCAATTGAATTTTGGTTTCTTGACTTAAACGTAGAGGGAAATTTATTTCAGCAGATACAAATATTAAGCAATTGCATCGCATTTCTTGTTCAGTAGAGAGAGTAATTGGTGATCGGGTTGCTCGGGATTATAGCTTATCACTTTTTCTATGTTATGCCATTTAAATTCTCTGCACTCGTGCTTTAAGAAGCAAGCTATATCGTTTTATAAAGCCTAATGGAAAAAGTTATATAAGTGAAATTTGCCAAAATCTGTTTGTGAAATCGAGTCGCCTGAGAAATCAAAAAGTTATGGTAACTAGTGATAAAAAGTAGTGCTTTCATTAAGAACTGAAAACCAAATGTCAGAGAGCTGCATGGAATTTACGGTAAGTTACCTAGCAATAAAGCAAAACTTTTCGTTTTCTGCCTGGTTATACAAAAGGCTTCGACCGAAATACTAAAAGCTAAACTGGATTGTGAAAAATGGATCGACAATTCGTTAAAAGTTTCCAGCATTGTAATGACTCGAAAAAATATTTAAAAAAAACCGATACGAAAACAAATTAAAATAATAAATGCATTCGATCTGGGACAGTTGGTGTATATTCTTTAAGCTATTTAAATATACAATAGGTGTTTTCTTTTGCGATTAATACTCCCATAGAACACGTGTCGTATAAGCTTCACGCACTACAATAGTGTCAAATTTTAAAATTGATCTATTGTGAATGATTTTTGAAAGATAATGGAAAATTCCAGGTAGCTGTCTATTATTTACAACTGTGGCGAGTGTTAATGAGTTAACTTAAATATTTTAAAAAAGTTATTTTTTTTTAAAAATTTTAAAAATGATTTACTGGCTAGTAATTGTGAAGTTTTTTATTTATTAAGCAATTTTCAATGGGTCAACATAATCTACAGATATAAGTACAAAATAGATCTAATATATCCAATATGTTGATAATATAAGTTTGTTCGCTGTTCCAATTATTAACTATAAATGTTTATGTTTTCGAGCGATTACTGTAATTTACATTTTTTATGAACTATAAAGGAATTACAGTCTGCGCTGTTTAATAAATAAAATGTGTAAAAATTGTATATACATACTACCTTTTCATTTCTCTATTCAGTTCTATATTATTAATAGAAAATTTCTTATGCCACAGACTTTACTTAACATTAATAGTTCTTGTCAGGCTCTGAGAAGACTTTTCAAAGTTCCTTGGTACATTAGGACGAATGACATCCTCAGGGACGTCAAGATTGATCTCATCAAAAAATACATAAAGGATAGAGCCCTGCAATTATTTACGAAATCTGACAGACTTACTAACACCGTGTTATCAAATCTCAGAATGGTTACAGGCTCCTCGGGGAGATATGCAGATCTGAGGTCAATTATTGCTTAGTCTAATGAAGTGATAAACAA